CCAAATATAGCGATAGGTATTGGGAAGTTGTGTTGTTAAGATTTTTGGGAGGGTTTTTTCGTCTTGCTTAACACACACACACGGGTAAGGATAGGCGAGAAATGACCTTGAAAAAGAGTAATGGTCACGTTTTGTTCTTCTTGTCTCAGGTACGATTGATTGTAATACCTTTCGTGATTCACGCTATTGTTTTGCGTCCATGAATTTTCTTTGTGTCTGCCGAATTTTTTTCTTTCTTTTTTCCTCTTCCTCGTCCTTCTCCCCCTACTCTTATTCGAACGCAGGTTTTTTTTTTGTGTGAATTTAACGTTTTGATGGAATAGGAAAAATTTATTAAAAATTTAAGGGAAAAGAAAAAAAACTCGAAACGGAAGTTTAAAATTTGATTTAAAGAAAAAAAAAAAAGCAGAAGACAGCGATGATGATGATACGAACCGTGATGGTGCAAGAAGGAAACCTTTACGTTTACCTGAATTGCAAAAAAAAAAAAAAAGAGAAAAAAAATATGGAGATGAAATATATATTTTTTTTGGCATCTGAAAAAGGGAAATAAAAATGACAAGTTGGCAGCCCTTGTTTATTTTTTTCCTTTTTTTTATACCTTTGCAAATTTTTCTTGCCGTAGAAAAAATAAAATAAAATTTAAAACTCGTCGTGGATTAAAAAAAATAAAAAAAAAAGTCATCGCGTCGTCTTCGTTGTCGTTTCAAAACCTTTATAATCATCATCATCATTATCATTATCATATTATTATTATTATTATTATTAAATTCTTTCTCTCTCTCTCTCTCTCTCTCTCTCCTTCTCTCTTTTTCTCTCTCACAACATACCAAAACTTTTCCGAACATGATGTTTTCAAGTATTTCTTCAAATTTTTTTTTTTTTTCATGGAATTTTTTCTCTCTTTCTCTCTCTTATAAGTTGGTATCGTACCTGAAAATTTTTGGAAAATAACAAAAGGCATTATTATTATTATTATTATTATTATTAAATCCGCCATTTGTAAAAGAAAGAAAAAAAATGAATAATGAATAATTTTTTTTCCTTTAACAAAAAATAAAAAAAATTTATTTTTGTCGCTTTGACAAAAGGTTAAATAAGGTTTTTGATTTTTTTTTTTTTTCGTTCGGTTCGGACTGGAACTCATTTAAACAGAAAGAGAGAGAGAGAGAGATAGATTGAATGAAAGCATAACTCTATCTTTTTTTTTTCCAAAAAAAAAAAAAAAAGGAAAGGATATATGCAAAATACCGTTAGAATACATATTTTCCTTTTTCTCTCCTCCCACCATAAAAAATTTTTACCATAAATATTATTATTATTATCATGGTCGTGGTAGTAGAAGAATAAATTTTGGCGGTTGACACACTTTTTGTTGTTGTAAAAAAAAAAAAATAAGTAAAAAGAAAGCCGGTGAATAAAAAGAGAGAGAGAGAGAGAGAAGAAAAAGGTTTCACCGCATTTTTTTTTACTTTTTTTAATACTTTTTTATACGCCGACAATAAATTAAAACTTGGGGTTTTTTTCCAGTTCCAAAAAAAAAAAAAAAAACTACTGGAAAATATTTTAGAAATAATAATGATAATAATAATTTTATTTTTAATACCGAAAAACGTATTTAAAAAAAAAAAAAAAAAACGCGAAAATAATTTTTCTCTTCCCTTCCCCCCTCCCCCGTATTAACAACAATGGAAAATTTTCGGTCGCATAACGAAAAAAAATTTTTTTTTTTTTCCTTTTTTTTACGTTAAACAATTACAGCGAAGAAAATTATTATTATTATTATTATTTTAAATTGTATATACGTAGTATACTGATTCGTGAGATTATTTAAGGTTGTAATAATAATAATAATAATGATAATGATAATGATAATGATTAAAATACACGACGGTGGAGTATTCATTCCAGGGTTCATCTTTGATACGAAACCTTGATTGTGTTTAAAAAAAAAAAAAAAAAACCCTCTTAAAAGTTTTTCGTAAAGTTGAAGGATGTTGATGACCTTGAAAAAAACAAAATAATGATGATGATGATGATGATGATAATAAGAAGAATGAAACGAAACGAAACGTTCCTGCCTGCCTGCCTGCCTCCTTTGAAGCATAACACAAACGAATAATCTCGTCGGTTGGTTGCAGCCGTCTCGAGATTTTTTTTTTTTTTTTTTTGGAGAGATTCATGGTAGTTTGTGGTTCTCTCTCTTGCTTTGCCTAAGGATTTTAATGGGGGAAAGAAAAGAAAAAAATTACTCCCCGACTCCTCCTCCTCTCCGTTTGTTGCTCCCCCCTTATTCCTTCGAAAAAAAAAAATTTTTTTTGGCAATTAAATTATATTGTCGTGTTTGAAATTCCTTCCTTGTTTTATTGGTGGTCATTGTGTCTGTAAATGACGATGACGTTATTAAAATATTTTAACTTGTTTGGAATGGAGTCGTGTGCGTACGTACGTTTTAATATAAACATGCGTGTGTGCGTGTGCGTGTTGTAATTCATCATCATCTTCTTCCTCTTTTTTTTTTGGTAGTTGCTTACGGTAAAGTTTATCGAAACAAAAAAAATTTTCTTTTGTTTATTTTTGAAGTGGGCGGCGATAGTGGTAAACGTATGTTGTTGTGTCTGAGTGCGTGTGTTAGTGCGTGATGAGACATTGGAAAAATGCGTGGCGTCTACAGGGCGTTTCGGTTTCGAAAAATTCCAAAAAAAAAATTTTTTTCTTTTGTACTTCCACGTGTTGTAGGGCACGATATCGAGAGAGACGAGTGTTAAAATCAATCGTCAAATTGAAAACAAACGAATAACGTTTGTTTGTTTGTTTGTTTACTAACTTTTACGTGTATTAAAAAAAAAGGGGGAGGGAAAAAAACGTGAAAATGAAATTTTCACGAAAGTTTAAACAAAACGAATATATATACAGTTTGAAAATGATCGTGTAAGGAGAAAAAAAAATTAGATTAGTAAACAAACGTAAATGTTTTTCACCTTTTTTTTTTTTTTTTTTTTTTTTTTGGAGCACCAGCGAACGTTTAACGTTAGCCACCTACAATCGTTTGTTGCCGTCACGTTCGAAAAAACAACCGGAAATGAACCACACGTTGTTGTTGTTGTTGTACGTTAGGCTTATTATATTAATTATGTTTAGTCTATTTAAAAATTTTTCATTAATTATAAATTAAAAGTGAATTTTTAATAAAAAGAAAAAATTATTTACGAAATGATAATAATAATAACTATAATTTGGTTTTTTTTGTTTATCGTCATCATCATCATCATCATCATTATTATTATTATTATTATGTTTTTTTGTTTTGGGTTTCTTAGCTTTCTCCCTATTTGATGAATACGAAACGATTTGTATGTAAATAAGTAAAAGCTGACAAAAGTAACTGCTGCGCGTGTGTGTTTGTACGTTTGTTTGTGTTTGTTTGTCTGTCTTCGACAGCAAACAACTTTCTAACTTGAAACTTTTTGTCTGCGTGTTTGTTCATTGTGTTCTAAAAAAAAAAAAGAAGAAGAAAACATTTCAAAAAAAAAAAAAAAGTTTCTTTATTATTTAAAATAATTGCTTTATTCTGCTTCTTCGGCTTAAATGGTCTTTTTTTTTGTGTGCGATACGAAAAAAAAAAAAGGAAAGAAAGAAAAAAAGAAAGAGAAAGAAATAGAAAAAGAAAAAAAAAAAAAGAAGAAAAAAGATAGTTGTCGAGGGTTTAAATTACTTGAATTTACCCTCCAACGTTAACAACCTCCCTTCTCTTTTCCTTTAGGTGAACCTAAACATTTTCATCCCCGCCAAGGTTCTTTTTTTTTTTTTTGTGTGAGTTTTGGTATTTCTCTCTCTCTCTCTTTTTCACTGTCTGTCTTCAGTTGTTTGTTGTTTGTTCGTGGCGAACAAAGATGATTGTCGGGGATCGTATAATTCAAGTTATGGTTTTTTTTTTTTTGTACACGGTGTAAATGATGGTGGTGTTGTTTGATTGATTTTTCTAACTGTTATTACGTTTATTAAACATTAATTAATGTAAGTAACGAAAGAAAAAAAACTTATTTTGTGGCTGTTGCGGTTGTTGTTGTTGTTGTTAAATTATGTGAATTTGTCGAACGTAAAAAAAAATTTTTCTCAAGCGTTTATTTAATTTTTTTTTTTTTTCTCGCGACGTTTGTATGATTTTTTTTCCTGAAATTTTATTTCGATCGTGAGTTGTTTGTATTCGTTTGTTGTTTGTAAAGTGTGTGAAAAAAAAGAATTTTACGTCATAGAAATGCGTCGCAGGAATTGAAAATGTGTGTTTGTATAGGAAATATTAAATGTTGTTGTTGTTGTTGTTGCATCCTCCGGATTTTTGTATATATTTTTTTTTCTTCTTCTTCTATTCGCCGAGCAGCTGTAACAATTCTTTTGACCTGCTTCCCTTTTTTAAATTATTTTTTCTTTTTATTCTTCTTCTTCTTTTTCTCTCTCTCCTCCATTATCTGTTTGTTCAACTGAGAAAAAGAAGAAGAGAGGGGAAAAAATATATATTCTTTCCATTTTAAAGTTTTAAAATCGGATTTCTCTCTCTCTTTTCGTCTGCTTTTTTTTTTACTTTTCGTAATCTTTTTCGTTCTATCGAACTTTTTTTTTTTTTTTTTTCGATTCAGGTCATGTTTTCAGGTTTTTTTTTCTTTCTTTCTTTTATTTATTTTTCGTAAATTTTTAATTAAAAAAGAAAAAAGACGTTAAGGTGCGAATGTTGTTAAGATGGAGGATGCCATAAGTTAAATATTACGAGAATTTTTTTTTTTAATTTGACGTTTGTAGCGAGTGACGAGCAATTAAAATTAAAAGTATTATTATTATTAATATTATTTGGTTTTTTTTGTTGCAGGTATAAAAGACGCACCGTGAGCCAAGGGGAGCGGGCCTCGTCCAGTCTGGACCTGTGCAGGAGCAATTACAAATCATCGGTACTCCCCAATAAATCAGCCTCGTATTTAGAACACAGACGTACGCGTAGTCGTGGAATGAACATGGGGCAAAAAATATCAGGTATGAATGACATTTCCCTCCGATGGGGGTGCATGCCCCCGATTTTTAGGGTTTTTGCTCGGTGACATGAGGAATTTTTCTTATTTTTTCAAGGTGGTGTAAAAAATGTCAATAGAGAGAGTCCACAGCCGTTTAAACCCGTCATACCACGCGAGTTAGCACAAGATTTTGCTCGTCCAGCGCGGTTAGATATACTTCTTGACATGCCGCCAGCGTCGAGAGATTGCCAAATAAAACATGCATGGAACCCGGAAGATAGGTGAAGAAGGATTCTGATTTCCTGTGCACATATATACGTATCGTCTACGAGGAGAGATGATTCATTTACTTTTTTTTCTCTCTCCAGATCTTTGAATATATTTGTAAAGGATGACGACAAGCTGACATTCCACAGGCATCCAGTGGCGCAATCAACAGACTGCATCAGGGGTAAAGTAGGTTTCACAAAAGGTCTCCACGTATGGGAAGTTCATTGGTCGACGCGCCAAAGAGGAACTCACGCAGTCGTCGGAGTCGCGACTCAAGACGCGCCTTTACACTCTGTCGGCTATCAGAGCCTAGTAGGAAGCAATGATCTCTCTTGGGGATGGGATTTAGGAAGAAATAAATTATACCACGATTCTAAAAATAATGCCGGAGTTACTTATCCGGCCCTTCTTAAGCCAGACGAAACTTTTATTGTGCCAGACAAATTTCTAGGTAAACAAAAAAAAAGAGAGAGAGAGAGAAAGGAAGAAGGAAATCGAAAGGAGAAAACGTTTGTAATATCCATTTTGTATTTGTTTTTAGTTGTATTAGACATGGACGACGGTACGCTGTCATTTGTAGTCGACGGTCAATACTTAGGAATAGCATTCAGAGGACTGAAAGGAAGGAAATTGTATCCGATCGTATCCGCCGTTTGGGGTCATTGTGAAATCACGATGAAATACATCGGAGGACTCGATCCGGAACCATTACCGCTCATGGATCTCTGTCGGCGAGTCATACGACAACGCATAGGTAAACAACAGTTGGAGGAACACGTGACGGACCTCAACCTTCCACGTGCAATGAAGGTTTATCTATTGTACAGAGACATTAGATAGCAATCCTCGTCTGAGGAGGCGAACAATAATGCTTAATAAAGCTGTCTCCTCACCCTTAATGAGGGAAAAATAAAAAAACAAATGAAAAGAAAGGAAGAGAGAAAAGCGTGGAAGAAGAAGAAGAAGAAAAAGAAAATAATAATAATATTAATATTAATAATTAAAAGTGAGAAAGGCAATTAATAATTTTTTTTTTTTTTTTTTTTTTTTTTAATACCCGAGGACTCTCGCATCACGAGAAACAAAGAAAATGGGGAGAAAAATTTTTTTTTTTTTTAAAAAAAAAAAAGAAAACAAAATAATAATAATAATTACGTTAATAAAAAAAGTGCATAAGTTTTTTTTTTAATAAATAAATTTGTGTGAAATGATTTTCAAGGTCGAGAAGTTAATAATAAACGTAAAAAATTAATAATTAATAATTAATTAAACGAAAAAAGGCCTTTTTTAATGATAACGAATGATTGATTGATTGATTAAATATATCGATGATGGCCAACGACGACTGACTTCCTAGTTGTGTGTGAAAAAGTTTATTTTTTAATTTACTTATTAAAATAAAAATAAAAAAACATGAACAAACTAAAATGAATGATTAATAAAAAACAAAATGGCGGATGTCGGTTTTTTATATAAAAAATCCGCTTATTATGAACAATTTTTAATTTTAATTTTAATTTTTTTTTTTTTTTAAATTTAGGAACGAAAAAAGTGTTTTTTTTTTTTTTTAATAAATTGACTAGAATGAATGGAGAAAGAGAGAGAAAGAGAGAGAGAGAAAGATGTATGTGTGTGATATGATGAAAGAAAGGGAGCGAGAAAGAAGAAAAAAGTAATAATAATAATAATAATAATAATTAATAAAAAGACTCATATAATAAAATTTGAGTGTAGAAAAAAAGTAATAATAGGAAAAAAATTTGAAAAAAAAAAAAATTCATTTTTTTATATTCATTTTGATTACGCTGTATGTTTATAAGATATATAAATATATATATTATATTATATATATATTTGTATAAATATAGATTTAGAAAATTTAAGGAAAAAAAAAATATTTAAAAAAAAAAAAAATTTTTTTTTTTTCATCAAAGAAGACAGAAAAAAGTTTCAACGAAGAATTAATAATTTTCCGATTCGTTTTTTTTTGGTCCATTTTATTCCGCAGCATCCTTCTTCTCCTCATCATCATTCTCATCCTTATCATCATCCTCATCTCTTTCCATTTCCTCTCATTCCATAAATTTTCGATTTTATGTAAAGTTTACAGAGAGACACACACACTTAACAATAATCGGTTTTGCATTCGTAAAAATTCCCAACATCATTATTATTATCATCATTATTATTATTATTGTTTTATCCCGTGACGTGTTAGATGATTGACGAAACAAAACAAAAAAAAAACGTTGAAATTTTTTTCTTTAAATTCCAAATAAAAAAGAAAAAATAAAAATAAAAAAAATAAAAAATTTTTTTTTTGTATTGATGACTACGCGTTGAATTGCATTGCTGGAAAAAAATTAATTATTATTATTATTATCATTATTATTATTAATTATTATTTTCATTATTATTATTATTATAATTATTATAATTATTAATTGTTTGTTCTTGTATATGTATTTTGTTCATAATTAATTCTTCTTTAATTTTTTTCTTTTGTCACGTGTCTGTAAGAAATACATAATAATAATAATAATAACAATTGTAAAAAAAATTTTGTCGTCTGCACATGTCGTATAATAAATACATAAAGTAAACATTAAACAATAATTTTTTTGTTTGTTTTTTTTTTTTTAAATGTAATTTATTTTGTTTAAAAAAAAAAAAAAAGAAAAAGAAAAACGAAAATTTAAAGTCTGTTGATTATTATTATTATTATTATTATTATTATTATTATTATTATTAACAACAACCACAACAAGCAGAAGACGACAAAAAAATTCTAATAATAATGTTTGAAATCGAACAATTAAAATAATATTATGTATTTCAATTTATTATTATTATTATTAATGAATTAATTAATTGATTAAAAGAAAGAAAATAATTATCTGTGGATTTATTATTATTATTTTTTTTAAATTTGAATTTTTTTTGGCGGGAAATTTTTTTTTCTTTTCGAACGAATATAAAAAGAAATGTGAGAAAGCATTAACGATGGTAAAACAGTGCCTAAATAATAAATAAATTTCTTTTTTTTCTCGTAGCCGACTCGGCATTTGTTTCAATAAAAATAAACAAACGGACAAACAAACAAACAAACAAACAATTAAATTTTATCCAACAAACTCATTGATGATTTAATTTAAATAATAACAAAAATAAAAAAATATTTAATAAAAATAAAAAAATAGAATAAAATAAAAAAATTACAAAAAAAAAAATTTTCTTTTTTTCTTCTCTTTCTTTTTCTTTTCTTTTCTTTTTTGCCATTTTATTATTATTATTATTATTATTATTATTATTATTATTATTATCGAACATCCGGTTTAATAATCGATGATTAATATTTAGGCAAATGTTTTTTTTTTTTTTGTAATTATGAAAGAAAATTTGCTCAAACATTTTGATTGACGCAAAAAAAAAAATTTAAAAAAATAATATGTTGCTGTTGCTGTCGTCAATCTCGTTGCTTCTTCTCTTCCTCTATTTTCAATAATAATAATAATAATAGTAATAGTAATAACGGGGAAGGAAAAACAAAAACAAAAAAAAAATTAAAATGGAATCGTTAAATTAATCACCGGAAATTTTTTTTTTTTTTTTTTCAAAAAAAATTCTATTTCAATTTTTTTCACTTTAATAATATAAATAAAAATTAATTAATTAATACATAAATAAATAAATAAATAATTGACAAATCGAAAGACAGGAAATTTTCAAATTAATAACTTTTAAAAAAAATACCGTCGCTATGTTACTTTTTTTAACTTTAGCCTTTTCAATTAGCAATAATTTGTTTTAACTTTAGCGTTTATTATCATTATTATTATTATTATTATTATTATTATTATTATTATTGTACGGGAAGTTTCTTATCGTTGAATTGATAAGAAAAAAAAAGTCATCGATTTAACGTAAAAATAATTAATTGATGTTAATCGCTCCCTGTATAATTATAATTGCCTTCGATTTTATAAATATTTACCTTATTAAGTATTATTATTATCATCATCATTATTATTAATAATGATGAAATAATTAAGACTAATTAAACTTATTATCATTATTAATTTCATTGAATCATCTATCATCCTTTTGAAAAAAAAAAAAAAGCGACGTTACAAAAAAAAAAAAAAAAAACGTTAATAATTTATTATTATTATTATTATTAATCATCATCATCATTATCATTATCATTTATTAATTAATAAAAAATTAAATAAATAAATAAGGCCCGACGGTGTTTTTTTCCGAAGCAAACAAATTTAAAAGTAAAAAAAAAAGAGAGGAAAATTGTAAAATTTAAAGAAGGGGGAGGAGGAGGAGGGAAGGGATGAAAATAAATAATAATAATAATAATAATAATGATTTATTAAAAATAAAGTTTATAGAAAATTGCTATTATTATTATTATTATGTAAATAGTTTTTTTTTTTTCTTAATTATTTAATTTATTTAGTAGTTAAAAAAAAAAAAAGCAAAACAAAAAAAAAAATTATTATTATTATTAATAACGAATTAAATGAATGATAATAATAATAATGAGTGTAATATAATATTTTCATTTTTTTTTTTTAGCTGTTGCTGGTTGTTCCTGGTTGTTGTCGTCGGTTGTTTTCGAAAAGGAAGAAGTTAAGGAAAAATGATTCGACATAATGATTTGCTGTAAAATTTCCGTAAGGTAAACATATGATTTGGAGAATGTGAAAAAAAAACGTTTCGGTCCACTTTTTCCGCCTTTTTTCCAGGTTCATTTCCGGTTCCTTCCTCTCTCTGTCTTCGATTCAACCATTTCCCCTTCATTTTTTTTTTTAACGTCCCAAAATTCCCGTTAAAGATCCAAAAAGAGTTTTTGATTTTAAAACTAAAAAAAGCGTCGTCTGAAATTTAAAAAAATATTTACATTATTTAGTGTTAAAGGTATTATTATTATTATTAGATGGCGGTGGGGGGAAGGGAAAAAGGGAAGGGGGGAAATTTGCGTTCTTACCAGTAATGAATTTAATAAGCTTAGAAAAGCGATGAAACCGAGAGCAAAAACAGCCGGAGCGGATGGTAATGCAAATGGTAGCAATGGTGCAAGTATTGCACTTCCTCCTCCTCCTACTCCTACTCCTCCCCCTCCTATTCCTCCTCCTTCTCCCGAATAGGGGAAATGATGCTGATGGACCAATAATTCTCTTTGGCTTATTTTTTTTTTACCGTATGCGTCATCGATGATGACGTATTCATCATCATTTTTCGATTTGACATTTTCAATCGGATAATAATTTTTATTTTGACCGCTACGATCGCTGTTGTCGTCGACATCGTCACCACCGCTTCCGCTTCCGCCGCCACCATTAATTTTATGTTTTACATTTTTAGAACCTGGAAAATCAAAAAAAAAAAAGGAAAATTTTTTTCGTTTTCATTTTCGCGCGTAAAAAATTTTGAAATTTACGATAACAATGACTACTCACTCTCGTATTGTAAATTTGTCGGTAAATCATTATCGAAATTTGCCGACAAAATATAATTTTCGACAATTTTAGCACGATTTTTTTCCGATATAACTCCCCGACATAAATCAACCCTTAAAAATAAATAAATAATTAATATAAATCCTTTCATTTATAACGATTTATTATTATTATTACTATAGACAAACAAACACGTTAACAATCGAACTTTAAATAAACAAAAATAAATAAGTTAAAAAATTATTTAAAAAAATAAAATATTCAGAGCAAAAAAAAAAATGGTTACGGTTTTAAATTTGATTGATTGATTATTTTAAAAATTAAAACGAATTCATCGATTTCCCACTTCCGGTTAACGTAATTATAAAACAATGTTGCCAACATTGAATGACAAAATTTTTTTTCTTATAACCGCATCGCAAAAAAAAATTTTATTTAAATAAAATTAAGGAAATGGAGGAAAAGGGGAAAATTCGGGTGAAAATCTTAAATGATTTCGATATATCGAAATAAATATATCGATATTTTCGATATATTTACCGCAGTTATAAAAACGACGACCGCGTCGGCGTCGGCGGCAAAAGAAAATGTTGTTTTGTAATTATTTATACAAACGATGATGTCGCTTATGTGGGGAAATTTTTTTTAAAAAAATCAGGGTGAGAAGGGGCGTCAGCCTTTTGGGGCAGAACCCAGACTATGAGTTTGCGCAAAACTTTTTTAAATTATCGACTTTAGTGACATCAGCTCTCGTATCTATGGATACCGAAAAAAAAAGGAAAAGGAAAAATGAGAGAGAGAGAGAAAAAAAAAAGAAAATTCTCCTTCTCTAAGAAAAGTTCGTTTTTAGCAATATACACTTTACGAATTCGTTTGTTAATTTTTACCCTTTGAATTAACCGTTTGTTTGTTTTTTTTTTTGATTTTAAATTTTTTTTTTACTCGATAATGCGTGCGTGTGTTTGTTTGTTGTTTGTATTTTTTTGTGGAAAAAATATAAAAAACGTAGCGAGTTTTTTTTTTGGAGTGTGAAGAAAAAAAAAAAAATAGATTTTGCCGGAAGTTAAATTTTTTTTGTCGTGACGTTTGTGTGGTGACATTTAAATTTGACGATCCGAAACGATTTTTTTTTTTTTTTTGTTGATAACTCAAAGATTTTCTTCTGCTTCTTCTTTTTCTTTTTGTTTTGGAATTTATAAATAAAAAAAATTTTCATATTGATTTCGTACGATTTGGATGGACAACTTGGCGCCGGCTACTACTAAAATTCATATTGATCCGTTTTTTTTTTTTTTTTTAAGTCGGCCATTTTTATTTTTAGTGAATTTTTTTGTTTTTCCGAATAAAAAGTTTTCTTTACGATAATAATAATAATTATGCGGGGTTGTTTTTAATTATTTAAAAAAGTAAAAAGTTGATATTAAAAAAAAAAATTTTTTTTGGAGTAGTAGCTGGTGGTGGTCGGGTCGGGTCGGAAAAAAAAGAAAAGCGATATGGGTACCGTTTTAAGCATCAGTCCGAGGGAAAGACGTCCGGTTTATTCGACGGTATCTGCCGGAGAACTCGCACTGAACAACATAAGTTACGAACAATTAAACAATGCTAAAAATAAATCCCTACCACCACCACAACCACCCCAGGTGGTTGGTGTCGCGAATAATAACAACAACAACAACCACACAACTTCCAACACAAATAATAATAATACGAATCATCAAATTCACGCGAATCATATCAATAATAATGATAATGCTAAAATAATATCGGAAAAAAATACGTTAGAAAAAAATTTTAAAAAACATTCACTTTTTATAAACGCATTAAGTTGGAAAAGATTTTCCACAGCAAATAATAATAAGAAAAAATTAGACAATAAAAATAAAAATTTAACAATATTTCGACAACCCCTACTCGATAACATACATCCCATCGTGGATAAAAATAAAAACATTCATAAAAGCACATCAATACCTTGTTATTACCCATGTCTGACCGTTTCCAAAACGGTACCATCATTGTCGAACCCGGAAGAATTAGATGGTCACGTTGATATCAACCTGAGATCGAATAACAATTCGAACAACAATGCAAACACCAACAACACGTCGTCATCCTTCTGTGAAAAATTAGGACCGAAAACAAATCTATCGAATATTCCTCAATCTCAAACGAGTAGTGCTATCAGTAATAGTAGTCATCATCAGGTACCACCGAGGAAAACTGTTATACAGGCATCGACGTCGGAATTATTAAAATGTTTGGGTATATACCTACATAATAAATGTTACAGGTTAAAAGACTTTCAAGCAGGTGATGCAGTCATGTGGCTTCGTACCGTTGATAGAAGTCTTCTTTTACAAGGGTGGCAGGTAAGTTAAAAAGGAAATACATTGATTGACTGACTCATAATCATCCTTTCTCTCTCTCTCTTTCTCTCTGACGTCATACTATTATTATTAAAAAAATTGACATTTATCGATTTTTCCGTTTTTTTTTTTTTTTAGAATTTTATGCAATGAAATTTTTATTAATACCGCCATTACGTAACCCTTTGATAATCGAATTCTTAATGAAAATTTGACGTTGAGGAGGGGGTAGGGGGTGGGGTGAAAGAAAACAAATGCGTGGATCAATAAAATCACATGGGAATGTTTGTTTGTTTGTTTGTCTGAATGACATTTTTGCCATGTCATGGGAATTTTAAATTTTAAAACAAAAAAATTTTCTTTTTTTTTTGTTTCTGGTCCCCCTGGTTTTTGTGTCCTTTTTAGTAAATAATTTTCTTTTTTGTTTTTTTCCAGGACGTCGCTTTTATAAATCCAGCCAATGTTGTTTTCGTATACATGCTCATAAGAGAATTGGTCGAAGGAAATGAAGAAACCGAACACGAATTACAAATTTTGGTACTCACTTGTCTGTACCTGAGTTATTCTTACATGGGTAATGAAATTTCCTATCCTTTGAAACCTTTTCTCGTCGAAGATTCAAAGGAACAATTTTGGGATCGTTGTTTGAACATCGTCAATCGTCTTTCCCGTAACATGCTTCGGATAAATGCCGAACCTGGTTTTTTCACGGAAATATTTACGGAGTTGAAAGGTTGCGGTGCGACAGCAAATTTAAATCAAGCACTAAATAATTTAAACATACACGGAAATTACTTTCGTGAAAATTTAAATAATAATAATAATATCAATAACGGTACCAACAACAACAATAATAATAATATTAATAATAATAATAATATAAATAACGGTTCGCAAATTAATAATGGCTTCCACGACAGTAACAACACCAATAACACCACGACAACAAATAAAACTATGAGTAATAGTAATAGTATAAATAATAACATGAGTAATAGTAATAATAATAATAATAATAATAATAATAGTTCTAGCAATGGAAATTTAATATTGTCAAATTCGGCTTGACCTAATTGGATTGAATCCTCCGACTCCGAGAGGCGTCATTTTAATAATATTGCCTTAGGAAAATTGGAAAAAGAAGAAGAAAAGAATGGAAAATATAAAAATAGGAAAAAAATAATAGAAAATCAATTTTATACGCTAACAGACGAATGTAAAAAAGGGCAAAAATCATCATCATCATCGATATATAAAATCGAAATGAAAAAAAAAAAAAAAACGAAGAAGGAAGATGAACGACGCGAACGCGAACGGGAGGAAAACGAGGAGGAAAGGGATAAAAAAAAAGAAAAAATACAAATGGAAACGTTTAAGAAAACATATTATTTAGGAGGTCCCCCAAAATCATCGCATGATGAAAAAGCAGAAGAAAAGAGAAAACAATATAAAGTTAAAGAAATGAAAACGTCATTTCTGTGGGAAAAAAATTTCGATGAATTTTTTATAGAAAATGAACAAAATAAAAAAAATTACGTAATAAATAATAATAATAATAATAATAATAATAAATATACAATTATAAAATCCGGATATGATTATACGCTCAATAATAATCAATTTAATAAAATTATGAGACAAACGACAACCGCGACAACAGCAACAGCGACAGCAACGTCGTTACAAGAAAAAAAATTAATGCAAGCTAAACAATTATTGGCACATTTAAAATGCGTTAGTAAAATGAGAAAAATTACGTCATCGGATGTACAAAATTTCGAGTGTTTAAAATCTCGGAAAACCGGAAGGGAAAAACGAGAATCGAAAGGGTTCGATAAAAAATTTAATTCATTTCAACAATACGTCACAACTCTATGATCCCGTTTTTTTAATTAATTATTATTATTATTTCTCAAATAGGTAAAATTGCTGTCGTGAAGATACCGAGAACGAGAGGAAGAGAGAGAGAGAGGGGGGAAAAGGTAAAGAAAAATTCGATTCAATGGAAAATTTTTTAAATTTCATTAAAATAATAATAATAATAATAGTAAGAGATTGTTTTACTCGTAGCAAAAAATTATTTGGCGACAGCAAATTTTTAAAAAAACAGGAAACAGAGAACAAGAAACAACTTTAGTGTTAAAATGGCATAAGTAAAAAATCTACAAAAAAATTCTCCAGGAGATTTGAAAAATAAATAAATAAATAAGAAATCGATCGAAAATCAATAATTTTATTTAAAATAATAATACTAATAATAATAATAATAATAATAAATTTAGCTCAATTTTTATTGTACATAAAAAAAATTCGTGACGTCACAGTCGTGTGTATTCGTCGTCGTCGTCATTTGTAGGTGTTTAATTTATAATAAATAAATTATCTATCGATAGGTAATAAAATTAATTAATTAATTAATAATAATAATAATATTTCGATATCGATTAAATTATACATAATGATAATTATTATTATTAATAAATAATAAAAAATATTTATGTAAATAAATTAATAATGTAGAAACAACGGTTAATGGATTACATAAATACATAATTTAAAAAAAAACTAATAGAAAAATTTATATGAAATAAATACATAAAAATAAATTAATTAGTACATACATAATTATTATAGATTAATTTTTATAGACGGTATTAAATAAATAAAATAAATAATGATAATGATAATAGTGATAAGCTGATAAAGCTTTAATTATAAATTTATTTATTCATTATTATTATTAATAAGAATGTTGGATGAGTAATTTTTTTTATTTTTTATTTTATTACCCCAATTTTCAGGTAACGAGTAGTTAATAAATATATGTATATTATAGGCTTTAATAAATACATAAATAAATAATCACGTAATTTATGTATGTATATATATATATTCACAGAAACACAAGTAATATTTTAAAATTTATTTATACATAAATATTTATATATAAAATAATAATAATAATAAAATTTGTATAATTAAATTAATTAATTAATAAAATCATATGTACATAAATAAATAAATAAATATGTAAAAATTAAAAATTTTCAAAACGAAAAAAAAAAAAATTAAATGTGCTAAAATTATAAATATTAATTAACAGAAAAAAATTATTATTATTATTATTATTAATTTTTAATTGATTTATTGATTGATTTATTTATTGATTTTTTATTAAGCTGGAATAATAATTCCAAATTTTTTAATGGACCACGATGAATTTTTTTTTTTTTTTTTTTTTTTGATTTTCGTTCAGCGACGGATGCTGAGGCTTGTAAGCCGAACATTTTATTATTATTATCATCGTTAATTTTTTTTTGTTTAATAATAATAATAATAATAATAATAGTAATAATAATGATAATCGTGTACGTTTTGTAGTGTAGTCAGTCGTATTCGTTCGTTCTTCCAACATTCTTTACATAAAAACAAAAAAAACAAAAAAAAAAAAATTAAGCGTTAATTTTTTAGTTTTATTTATTTATTTTTATTTTTAATAAAATTATTAATTAATAATAATAATAATTTTTATTATTATTATGTAAATGGCCGGATGTCGTGCAATATTCATTCGTAAAAATAAAAAAATAATAATTAATTTAAAAAGTAATAATAATAATAAAAGAAAAGAAAATTTTTTTTTATTTTTAATTTGTTTTTGTTATTTATTTTTTTATTTTTTTATTTACATAATTTGATGGTTTTTTCTTTTATTAAAGTAAAAAGAAAATTAATAAACGTTTTTATTAATTCATAATAATAATAATAATAATAATAATAATAATAATAATAATAATAATAATAATAATAATTGTTAAAAATAAAGAAAACAATTAATTAACAAAAACAAATTTCGTAACATTTGCATAAAAAAAAATTAAAAGAAAAAAAATTATTCTTTTAACAACAATTAAATTTATTTTATTATTATTATTATCATTATTATCATTCACATCATCGTTATTATTATTATTATTATCATTATTACGGAAAACCGTTTCGTTTAAATTTTAATTTAAAAATAAAATGCAAAAAAATTAAAAATAAAACAAAAGAGAAAAAAAATTATTACAAAATAATTAAAAGTAATTTTCATAAAAATGAATTATTTATAAATAATAATAATAATAATAATAATAATAATGATAATGATAATTACTTTTTACTTAAAAGCCAAAAAAAAAAATGCATATTATTATTATTATTTATTATTTTATTTTATTTTATTTCGTCTTTCGTTTAAAAAATTTTATTGTTTATCATTTAATTTGTTACATTTAATTTATTTATTTATTTATTTTTGTTATTATTATTATTATTATTTTGATTATTTATTTTTATTTATTTATTTATTTGTTTTTTTATTTTTAAAAACCGTAACAATAATAATAATAAATAATAAATATTTTATTGTAAATTTTTTTTTTTTTCGTTGTTGTTTATGTGTCGTTTTGCTTTTAAAAAAAAAAATTTAGGATAAATTACTTTAATAATAATAATAATAATGATGATGATTACGTTGTTAAATAAAACATTAACAAAACCATTATTATTATTATTATTATTAATAACAATAACATTATGTGCGCTGTATATTTTAATTATTATATAATGAATTAATTTAATAATTTTTTTTTTTTTTTATGTATTCGTTATTAATTCACGTATATCAATGCCAACAAAAAAAATTACGTAATAAATTCAACGTTTTGGAACGGCCAGTAATTTTTTGGAGAATCCATATTAATGTTATCAGTAATCAAAACAAAAATGCTGATAAGGAAAAGAAATTCAATGACCTTTCAATGACCATCAAGGTAAGAATAATAATTTTTTTTTTTTTTTGGTTTTGTCGCATTCTTAAAAATATTATTATTATATTAAATAATAAATGAGAAAGTATCAGGATCGATCGATCGATCAATCAATCAATCAATCACTGAATAAATAATAAAAAATAAATAAATTTTTAAAATTTTTAACGAATAACGTTATAAACGTTATTCAAACGTTAATGGAGGGAATAAATGGTTTGATTTTGCGCATGCGCATATTAAATTCTCATCATTCGTTTCCGCTGCTCTTTTAAACGTAAATTATGTGAAAGAATAAGAAGAAGAAGAGTCGGCCATGATATTTTAAAATTTTTTCTTTCTTGTGTTGTTGTTGTTTTTTTATTAACTAATTAATTACTATCGTGCCTTAAAATTTATTTATACATGTTATTACATGATAAGTTAATATTAAGGAATGAATATTTGTTTTAGTTACAAGGTAAGTTCAAATTATTATACAAGTTTTTTTTTTTTTTTTATATTTAACAACGTTTTTTTTTTTTTTTTTTGATTGGTTATTTGATATTTAGGAGCGGTTACAAGTGTCAATGACATGAGGGTATTGTTTGTTAATGTCATAAATTTTTTTGCTTATTTATTTTTAATTAAAACTAACTAAAACTAACACTATTTTGCTTCAATTGTCAAATGGTTTTTTATTTCTTATATAAAAATTTATGAATGAAATTATTATTATTATCACATTTATTTAAATATATGTTGTCTCATGAGAATTTCAATTTGTTAAACAAAAAAAGTTAAATTTTTATTCGACTGCAAAATAATTTATTTGTTTGTTATTATTAAAGTTCTTGTAAATTTAATCCGTTTAATGTGTTTTGATTTTATTCGATGTTACACATAAACAAAATGGACATTTGCCATCAAACAATCGAAAACATTAAGTTGTTTGTTATGTATTAATGTAACATATATGTAATCATTACATAATGTTGTTTTAATTAAATTATTTGTTAACATAATTTGTTTTTTTTTTGTCAATGATAAAACTCTTGTTTAAATTGTGTGTTTATTTATTTTTTTAAAAAAATTTATTCCCTTTAATTGTTTTCGACTTGTCGTTTTGTTCTTAGAAATTACATAAGTTATTATTATTATTTATAAAATGATTTCGTTTTAAATTATTAAGGAAATACCTATTCTCTTTTGTTTTAAATATTAACAAATAATAATAATAATAATTTTATTTTTAAATATTGTCGACATTAACAAAAATAAATTTCTCGAGAAATTATTCCTTTTTCTCATTAACATCGATTAATGTTAAATCATATTAAATAAATTGAAGGTAACCTAATTTTATACGAGTTCTCAATAATTGTTTATGATACAAAAAAAATTGCTTACAACAACAACAACAATGACAATAAACCTCATTTTCTCAATGAATTTTACTATAAATTGTAATAAAAAAAATTAAAAAACAAAAAGAGACCTTAGCCATGATTTTGTTTAAAAATTTCTTTGTTATATATATATAAATTAAAAAAAAATTATTTATTGTGAGTGATTGTTGCATTTTGTTTCATCGATATTCTATTTATGTTCATTCGATTAATGTAATTGTTTTTATCAGTGCATTTTTTTTTAAAATTTTATCATTAGGAGTACAACAAGGATACAAACATCATCATCAACAACATAATCGACAACACCATCACAACAAACTTATAAGTTGTTTGCGACAAGTTGTTCAAGTAATTTTATTATTATTAATATTTTTACCATCCCTTTGTGTTTGTTTTTGTTCAATTGTTTTATACATTCTTTAACCGAAGGGGGAGGGGGTGGGGGAGTACTTAAATTTACCGGATATGGAAGAAGATATGGAAGATGTGTGTAAGGCATAGGGTGGAAATTATTAAAAAATTCAAATTATGTTTGTTTGTTTGTTTGTTCTGTCGGTTTTAATCATTGTTTATCACAAAACATAATAGTCTCGTGTTTTTTGTTAACCGTTTTGTTATCAACAATATTTACGACCCCAAAAAACTTTAAAAAGAATATTTTCTTTTAAAATTCCGCCATATTTTCCCCATCAATAGTTTCATATTCTATGGTGAACTTAATTTTCATTATCCATTATCAATTATCTTTTTTTTTTTTTTATATATATATAAAAAGTTATCGTGTTACGTAACATCATCATCTTTCTTTTTTTGCCTTTGACCTTTCATCATTATTATTGTTTTTATTGTAAAAATGCATTCGAACAAAAAAAAATAAAATAAAATAGGATAGGGATAAAGAAATAGAAAACTTTGTCTTTTATTATTATTATCATTTGAAGAATTGAAAGATTTGAAATTTGTTTTTCTTCTTCACCAAAATTATTTTTATAATAAAACAAAAAAAAAAAAAAAAAAAATTGAAGACGTTGTGGTTGTTGTTGTTGTTGCTTCATCATCATAAAATGATACAAATTATTATTATTATTATTATTATTATCATTATTTTTTCCACCTTTTACTTTAGGTGAATAATAAATTATGAAAGAAAGAAAGAAAAACGGTTTCTCTCGGTTAATGTTTTCTTTTTTTCTGTTTAGAAATTTTTTAGGTAATTTCCTTTCGAACGTTTGAAAAATGATAATGATAATAATAATGATAAAAAATGATGATAATTACACGATTGCGAAAACGATTTTTTTTAACGTGACTTAAATTTTTAATGTTTTTGTTTATGTTGTTGTTGTTGTTGTTGTTGTGTTTCAGTTGGAATGTTATTAGCACCCTCGAGGAAAATAGTTAAAATATGTCCGTTTATTGGTTTCATTTTTTTTTGCGGATATTTTTTTTTCTGGTTCGTCGATCATCATCCAGACTTAAAGGAAGAAAAAGATGAAAGAAGCATTCGTTTGAGGTAAGTTCAAATCATGTAGAAAAAAAAAATCGTTAACGATGGGTTGTTTAATAATGTTTGAAAGTTCTTTTAACAAATAAAAAAAATGGCGACGTTTTTTTTTTTATATTAAAAACAAAGAAGAAGAAGAAGGTTTAAACAATTAGAAAAAAAAAAAAAAAAAAAAAACGTTTACGTTGTTGTTCATGTGTGGAAAAAACGTGAAGAAAGAAAGTTTTCAAATTACACAATTTTGTATTATTATTATCATTATCATTTTTTTCTACTCTCCAGATTAGAAAAACGTTTTCTACTCATATTTATTTGTCACTCCATAATTTAAAACAAAAAAAAAAAAAAAAAAAGTCATAATTTATTATTGAAAATTTTTTTGTTGGGGGGGGGGGTGTTAAAAAGAGAAAACGACGAAAATTTCGGTATAATTTTGTTAACATCATCATCATTATTATTGTTTAATGTATTTAATGAGGAGACGATTCGAAATCATTTTTTTTTTGTCATCCGTTTCAGATTTCCGGTTAAGAGATTTTCATTTCGGAAAAAAAAAAAATTTTCATCCAAGCTCTTTTTTTTTTTACTCCTCCTCCTCCTCCTTCTTCTTCTCCTCCTCCTCCTTCTTCTCCTCCTCCTTCTTCTCCTCCTCCTTCTTCTTCTCCTCCTCCTCTTTCTACTCATGAAAATAAATTAAATCCTGGAATTTCGTGTGGGAACTTTTATTAAAAAATTTATTATTATTATTATTATTATTATTACTTTTTTTTTCTCCAGACTCAGAGACGATCAAGAAGAATATATTGATAAGAGAGGAATTCACGTCGTCGTCGGACATTATACCGGCGATGATAATAATAATAATGGAAGGAACGCGTATAATTTGACAGACGGTACGTTTTGGTATTTTTCCCTTTTCTTCTTCTCCTTCCAGCCTTGTTATTTAATTTAACGTACTATTATTATTATTATTATTATTGGTAGAATTAATAAATACCAACATGTTCGATCCGAATCCGAAAAATGGTATGAATGGTTTACCCGTCATAATACAACCGTCGGAAATGACGAAAATGAAAGCTTTGTACACTATAAATAGGTTCAACCTTTTGGCAAGCGATAGGATACCGTTGAACAGAACGTTACCCGACGTCAGAAAGAAAAGGTTTTTGTTGTTATTATTATTATTATTTGATAACGCACTCCGTGGTCAATGACGTGTTATTTGAAGGTGAGAATGGATTTTACAGGTGTTTGACAAAGTATCAAAATCTTCCGGAATTACTGCCGACTTCGGTCGTCATAGTTTTCCACAACGAAGCTTGGTCAACGCTGTTGAGAACCGTACAAAGCGTCATCGATAGATCACCGAGAGAATTGTTGACGGAAATAATATTGGTCGATGATGGTAGCACGAGAAGTGAGTTTGTTTTTTTACATTGAAAAGTTGGTACCGTTGGAAATTTAAATTGAAAAAAAAAAAAAAACATTTTAAATTATAGAATTTTTAAAAGAGGATTTGGATGAATACGTTGCTCGGCTACCCGTACCCGTCAAAGTGATAAGAACAAAGGAAAGGGAAGGTTTGATAAGAGCAAGAATGATCGGAGCGAAAGAAGCCAAAGGTCAAGTTTTGACATTTTTAGACGCTCATTGCGAATGTACCAAAGGTAATTTTTTTATTTTGGTTGAAAATTGGAATTTTCGGAAGAGAGGGAGGAAGAGAGGGAAAATTAAAAATTCCTTTTAACGTGGTAGGATGGCTCGAACCACTTCTTGTTCGCGTGTCAGAAGATAGGAAAAAAGTCGTCTGTCCCGTCATCGATATTATAAACGATGACACTTTTGCATACGTCAGAAGTTTTGAACTTCACTGGGGCGCATTCAATTGGAATTTACACTTCAGATGGTACACATTGGGAACCACGGAAATCAAGAAGAGGAAAAATGACGTCACCGAACCTTTCCCGTTTGTTTTTTTTTTTTTTTTTTGTTTGTTTCCGACGTTTAAAATTCATTTGCGTGACGATGTCGTTGTCATGTTTCAGAACTCCAGCGATGGCGGGAGGTTTATTTGCAATCAGAAGAGATTATTTTTACGAAATCGGTGCCTACGACGAACAAATGAAAATTTGGGGAGGAGAAAATTTAGAAATGTCTTTCAGAGTAAGAGAGAAAATAATTTTTTTTTTTTTTTTTTTCAAAAAAAACTCCGTCGCTCATGCGTTTTTTTTGTTTGTTTCAGGGGTGGCAATGCGGAGGATCCGTAGAAATCGTACCTTGTTCTCACGTTGGACATTTGTTCAGAAAATCATCGCCGTATACGTTTCCGGGAGGAGTCGGTGAAATCCTTCACGCGAACCTTGCACGTGTCGCTTTGGTTTGGATGGACGAATGGCAAGAATTTTTTTTCAAATTCAATCCGGAAGCGGCTCGTCAAAGGGATAAGCAAAGCGTGAGAGCGAGAATCCAACTCAGGAGTCGGTTAAAGTGCAAAAGTTTTGAATGGTATCTGGATAACGTTTGGCCCCAGCATTTTTTCCCGAAGAACGACAGATTTTTCGGATTGGTGAGAAAACCCTTTATTTTCAACCTTTTCGCCTTTAGTTTACCCTTTGCCCACAACTCACTCGTTTGATATCGTCGTCGTCGTCGTTTCCAGATAAAGAGCGCAAGTGATAATAAGTGCCTTACGAGACCTCACGGACCACCGTCAACAAATCAACCGACGGGAGTCGTCACTTTGACTCCGTGCAAAGAAACTTTGGAACATTTTTTCGTTTACACGAAATTCAGCGACGTCATGACGGACGAATCCGTTTGTCTGGACTTGCTGGATAAAAACGAAATGAAAGCCAAAGTTAAAGTGATGGCGTGCAGCGGTTCGCCGAGGCAAAAATGGATGTACGACAAAAACGTGAGTGTTAACAACGATAATAATTACTATTATTATTATTATTATTATTATTATTATTATTATTATTATTATTATTATTATTACTACTACTTCACGTTTGTTTGTTTGTTCTTTGTCAAAATTTAGAGTCAAAAAGTAACACACGTTAAAACCGGTCTTTGTTTGGATGTTTTCGATGACAAAGCAATCGTTACAAATTGTAGCGAAAACGCATCTCAGAAGTGGATCTTTCAACCCGTGCAATGGAGATGACACGGTCGAAACGTCACAAAAAAGTAAAAAAATAACGATATTAATAATAATAGTAACAAACGATTGTTTCCTGTTGATGATGGTAATTATTATTATTATTATTATTATTTAAACAAACGAACGCGAAATCTCGGTGACAAAGAAATGCTCATAAAGCCAAATGAATTTGTTGTATCTCTATCTTTTTTTATTTTTTATTTGTATATTATTTATTGTTTTTTTAAAAAAAAAAGGTGCTAAATCTTCGGGTTTTATTTAATTGATTACGTCATTAATTAATTGATTTATTAATTAATAGGTTAATTAAATTTTTTTATGGATTCATTATTATTAGTGCCATTAATTGCGCGCTGCTTTAGGTTGACTAAATTTTAAGTAAAACGCTTTAATTAATCGGGGGTATACCGAATCATACGTATTATTTATTAGTTTTATCATTATTATTATTATCATTATTATTATTTTCGAATCATCACTAAAATTTAATTTTTAATTATTATTATTATTATTTACTATTTACTATTTTTTTTTTACATTGATTTATATTAAAAATTAATTTTTTTTAAAAAATTGCTGCAGTTGTTTTTGTTTTTGTTGCACAAACGGTTTTCAAAGGTAAACAAACAAACAAACAAACGAACGAAAGAACTTTAAAAAAAAAAATTGTTTGTTGTTAAATTTTTAGTTTGTATTATTTTTGACGGTCGAATTATTTCCAATTTTTTTTTTTTTTTTTTTGGGCCAATGAAGCGTTACTAAAAAAAAAAACCTGAAAACCTGAGATTACAGGTATCTAAGAAGGTTATCATGATGGGCAGGGTGGGAGAAATTTTTTTTTTTATGATAAGGCGTAGGTTTTGTTGATATTTTTTGCGACAAACGATAGAATATATTATAATTTTATACCTGTATATGAAAACAAACATAGTTGCGATTGTTAACAAGGTCAGAAGAGATGATGATGAGGTGGTGTCGTCGTCGGCCTCTTATTATTATTATTATTCCTTCTTGTAATTACGAATAATAAATTTTTTTTTTATTGTTTTGATCGCCATGCGTGGGTGGGGTGGGGGTTAATAACAGACGAAACGAATAATAATGATAATAATATTTTAATCAATCATTTTTTTTTTTAATAATAATTTTGAAGATGATTTTATTATAATTTAAATTATACCACTATTATTATTATTCACACGGAGGTGATGACAGACAATTAATGATGTCTCTTCTTTGTTTTCTTTTCCTCATTATAATTATTTTGTTTGTTTGTTTGTTTGTTTGTCTGATTTAAAAAAAAAGATTTTTTTTTAAAGGGCTTGGAAAAATTTATTTATTAATCTATCTCTCTGTATAATTTTCCGATTAAGTTTTATTATCATTATTATTAATAGTCACGTGTTTGGTTTCATCGGATTTACAAAAATTAATAATAATGATAATAATAATGAGAGAGAGAGAGAGAGGGAAATGTTGAAAATTTGAATGTTTACGCGTCAAATCGATTAAATTTGTTTATTTCCACCCACTTCTAACTAAATGCACTTCCGTCGGAAAATTGTAACGGTTTTTTTTTTTAAAAATAATTTCGGCGGGAAATTTATTTAACTTTAAAGGACGGGTATTCATTTCCGTTATTTGATTTTATAAAAAATTTTTATTATTCATTCGTTAAGACGTTTTGAATTTTCCGTTACTCATCAATTTTTTTTTTTTTTTTTTTTTGGAAAAATTTCATTCCAGTTTGATTCATCGGAAAAATTTTTTTTCCATTTTTTTATAACAATATATAATTAACATTAATTATTATTATTATGTTTGTTTAAAATTTTTTTGTTTTTAAAAATTTCCCAGAGTGCGTGATACATTTTCATACATTAAAAGTTGTTTTTCTTCTTGGGAAAATTTTAACGGTCACATGATCATTTTTTTTTTTTCTAAGAGTAAATAATTAAAATATTTGATAGATTAATCTCTCAAGGTTTGTTATATTAGGTTGTTGTTGTTTTTTAAATAGCAGAAGAAAAATTTTTTATTTTATTATTATTATTTTTTATTTAAAAAAAAAAGAAAAACGAGCGAGAGGGAGAAAATTGTGGAAAATTTTTAAATTTAACTTTTCTTTTTAAAATTTTTATTTATTTTCATCTCTTTTTGAAATCTACAACAACATTTTCGTAATAAAAAAACATAAACATGAACATAAACATACAATCGTGTTTGGTTTTGTTTTCTCATTTTTTCAAAACATAAAAAAACATGAAAAAATTTTTTTTTTGTTTAATAAATGGATGATGCAATTCATCGTCAATAAGACCCGATGAAAAACTTTTGGTTTTACTTTGTTTAATTCGTTTGTGATGACGTCATCATCATCATAATTATCATCATCATCATCATCACGTGGTTTTAGTTAAAAATATGTCTTTTTCATAACCTTGTCAATTTTTTTTTTTTTCTGTAAAAACGCTTTTAACTGTTAAGTAATTTTATTTTTTTTTTTTTTTTTATTTTTATTTTTTGTTTTATCAGTTAAATGATAAAATTGATGATAACGATTTTCTTTTTTCAAAATGTCTTCCTCCACGTGATTTTTTTAAAAAATGTCGATATTCGACACAACAAAAAAAAATTTATTTAATAATAATAATTAGTTTAGTTTAGAATGATGAGAGGATTATGTTTAGTCAAATAAAGGCGGTAATTAAGGTCGGGTTCAGGTAGATCAGGCGCGGTTTTTGAACGATTCGTCGTTATCAAGGTTAAATCGTGGCTCTATATTTTACCCGGTCTGTGATGCTCTCGGGAAGGTCGACTCGCCTGTTGCTGACACGACAAAAAAATAACAAAATGGAAACAACAACAACAACAACGTAATAACGATTTCAGAAAAAAAAAGAAAAAAAAGATTTTTTCATGTGTTTTACGGTTATTAATTATTGTCGTGGTCTTAAAAAAAGTTTTTTGTTCAATAATAATAATAATAATTAATAATATCACGTGATAATTTTTTAAATTGAATATATACACAACATCAATATCAAATCGAAGTGAAAGTAAGTAAATTTTTATATATTCAATCCTTTGAGAGAATTGTTATGAGAAAAAAAAAATTGGAGGGGGCGGAGAGAGGAGGGGAAGAAAGGAAGGATTATTTTTATCGATCGTAACAATAATAATAATGATAATAGTAAAAAAAAATCAATAAATATCGATTAATTCTTATTATTAATATTATTACCGTTAATGTTATTATTTTATTTTGACGTCAGGTTATCATTTATTAGTTATCGAAACATTTGTGTTATTATAAACCGGAAGTAATTGAATTTTTATAAATGTTTTTTTTTCTTTTGTAATTTAAATGACGTCATCGTTTTGACCTGGAAAATTAAATTTAACGAAAAAATTTTTAGAGAAAAATACTGGAGGAAAAAAATTACTCGGATTGAAACGTTTTATTCGAACGATGACGGAAGTTGATTTAAAAAAAAAAACCGGAAATGATTTAAGCCGTCGCGGAAATAAAGAAAAAAATGATTTTTTCCAGTGAATTTTTATGAATAAAACCTGGAACGAAAAATTTTTTAGATAATCGATAAAATTATCAGCCAATAAAAATTGATAATAGTTTTTTTTTTAAAAGGTCAAATTCTATGAACGGTGATTATTAAGAAATATCGTTTTGGGGTAAAATTTTTTACTTCTCCCCCTTCCTATCTTTTTCCTCCCCCTCTACCTCTCTCTCCCTTCCTCTTCCCCTCCCAAAAAAAATTTTTTTATTAACTAACCTCCGCCTAAAAGTTGTTGCGAATGCGCTCAAACGCCGCCCGCTTTATCGCCGCCTAAAATTTCACATTTTTATTATTATCATTATTATTATTATTATTAACTACATACGCACTACTAAATTTACGATAAATGCCTTCGGTATTATTATTATTACAACTCCATTATTTGTTTTATTGGACGCCATTTTTAAAATTAAAAACTAACCTTAAGGGCAACTTTAAAAATTTATGAATGCAATGTATGAAAAAAAAAAACCTTTTCGATACGTTTCGAAAAAGTTTTACCAACATTTGAAAAAAAAAAATTTTTTTCTATTTGCCCTCCCCTCCCGTCACCCTCCCCCACCTAAATATGGAGCAAATTTTTTTTTTCTTTCATCATACGACCTACAGACGTCGGATGATTATTTCTAACGGTATCATTATTATTATAAAAATTTTCCAAAGAAAAAAAAAACCGGAAATGACATGAATATAAAAATTTTCCGGAAATTCTTTTTTTTTGTAAAAATATTTTTTAGTATCGTCGCGTTTTCCATGAAAATTTTTTTTTTTAATTTATTGTTTTATAAACATTTGGAATCCAGCGCGAAATTTTTTTTTTTTTTTGGAATTTTGCAATGATAATAATTATAATGCCCGCTGGAGAGGAAAAAAAAAAATTTAACTGGAATAAATTTTTTTGAATAATTTTTTTTTCCAGGAAGATTTTTTCCCGTTACGACCTTTTAAATTTTTTTTTATTCGTGTCATTATTTGACCGTATTTAAAATTAAAAAATTTTTTTCCAGACACGCTGGAGAAATTTAATTTTAAACGAATTTTTATTATCCAGCGTACGATTTTCTTTTTTTAAAGAACGGAAAAGTAACAAACTCTTATCGTAAAAAAAACATCGGAAAGTTTTTTTAAAAAAAAAAAAGATTAACTTTTTTCTCCAGTACTGGAACGTCAACGTTTTAACCCATTATTTTATATTTTATGTGAAATTTTTAAATTTCCGCATTTATTATTATTTATTTTAACAATTTTTTTTCTTATTTTTTTTCCTTGATTTTCATAATCGACCTTGGTTTGTTATTTCTCCAGTACTTATTTATCACCCCTTCCTCTCCCCTCTCCTCCCTTTCCTTATCATTTATTACCCGATTTTCTCGACGTAATAATTAATTAATTATTATCGATAAGATTGGCTTTTATTCAATGCTC